TAATGATCCTTGTCTGTTAAGGCACAGCTGGCACAGCAAGGTTGTTGCCTGGGAGGTGTCAGGGGACCATATGTTTGATCTCCCCCTTGAGGTTGCTAATTTGGTAGGTCCAATTCCAGTTGACCTTCCCTCCCCATCTGTTGTCACCAGCAATATTGCCAGGTCTTTCACCAACATGACCACTGAGTCCTAGGAGAAGGGGAAAGGTAAGGCAGTTGTTGTGGACCTGGAGCCAGAAGCAGAAGGGAGTAGGAAGAGGAAATTGCCAATGATTCCAGCACCCTCCTCCCAACCACTGAAATTGGCAATGAAGGGTCATAAGTGGGTGAAGTCAACTTACATTATGAAGTCAAGGCAGTTTGTGGAGTTGGAAAATGATGAAGACTCAATCATCAAGGTATGTTGTCTGATTCATTTTTTCACTATTATTGACTGTCTTGTAGCCAGCTTTGGGTGGCATGCCAGAGGTCATCCATCCAGACCTCCCCACAATTGTGTCAAGGATGTCTGGATCACCTTGCTCACCCCAGGTCCCAAAGAAGAAACCCTTCGGCCCTGCTATGGTAAGTCTAATTTATGCAGCTGGCACCCAGATCCATGCTCACAATTTATCAGGCAATTGCTGGCAGATGTCCAGAGGTGATGGAGCCCTCGCAATTGATGTTGAATACCCTGGTGGAGGCACCACCAGTCATTGATGCAGATGACATCCTCATACCCAGACTGGTGAGTACTTTGAATCAATGGAGTGGGTCCATGGGCTAATGGAACCCACAGAACAACCCATGCCAGGCTTGCAACAAGCAAGGGTTACCCCACACCACTCGGTATGACCGGAGGAGTGGAAAGGGGTGTCTGTCATGTGTCTTCTGCACAACAAAAAAGGTAAAATGTATTTCCACAACTCTTGGAACCCTGCCAAAATGCTCTCAAGGTCAGTTGACCACATGGAGGGTGAGGTCGAGGACACTGTCAAAAGCTCCTTCCACCACCCAATTGAAGGCCCAAATGCACAGTCAATCATGTGGCTTGTCTGGCACTCCAAGTGTCTCTGGTGTGACAACACCACAGATGCAGACATGTGGTCACAGCAAGACAATCACTGCTGTCAAGGCACCTGCACCTGCACCAGCTTGTAAGTCCCCTGAACTTTTTATGACCATCTCACCTTATTATTCTCTTGTAGCAATTGTGTCTTTGAGCTTGGCAGTGCCTCCTGCAGCACTTGATGTGCCCATGCCAGACTTCCATGCCATGTTGATGGTGATTTGGGAGGGTGCAGCTCTAATTACCACTCTTGAGGCTCTTGTGGTTGAGCAGGGTGGTATGATTGATACCCTGCAATGCCTCCATGAAAGCCTTCTATGCAAGATCATCAACCACCATCCATCATTTCCACTGCCTGACACTCCTGCCAATGCAACATTGTTGTTGCTTGATCAAGCTGTCCTGGAGTCCATTTCACCCCCTGAATCAGCACTCCCTCCTCTCATTGATCTGTCGATGCCAGGGATGGAGCCCACACCCCTGAAATTCAGGGATTCCTCTATCATCAAGGGTTTCATGTTTGAGCTCAGCCAAGTTCAACCACTACCAGACCCATTGCCAACTCCCAAGGGTCCCCAGAGTTCCAGGGAAATTGTGGGCCTGGCTGGTCTGCGCAACCTTGTCCCAGAATATGATTCTGGTGATGATATGGATGTTGAGGTGAAGGTTGAAGGTTCTTGTGAGGGTTATTTGGCTGAGGTTGACATGGCTACATAATTCCATAGTGATAGATTTCTATAGATTTTGTTTAAATGAATTTTACCTCTGCCACAACTGTAAAATTGAATTACCAATTGCTGAGTGCTGAAACCCAAAGCCCAAAACTCAAAACTCAAATCCTGAAACTCAAAAACCAAAACTCAAAAAAATGTATATAACATGTGATTTTTCAAAGATATTACACAAGTCCATTGTTGAGTGCCAAGTGCCAAGTGCTACAGCCCAAAACTCAAAACTTGAAACTGAAACTTGAAACTTGAAACTCAAAAACCAAAAACCAAATCTCAAAAAAATGTATAACATGTGGATTTTTCATTTCATTGCACAAATCACCAAGTGTTGAGTACTGAAACCTGAAACCCGGTACTACAAAACATATATCCAGGTTTCAGGTTTCAGGTTTTGGTACTTAACACTCAGTGAATTGTATCATTGAGTCTCAGGTTTCAGGTATTCTGGGTTTGGCACTCAGCACTCAGTGAAATTTGTGAGGAAATAGAAATTTTACATGATATACATTTTTGTGAGTTTCGAGTTTGGGGTGTTTGGGTTTTGAGACTCAGTGATTTGTGATGTTAGAAAATTGGATATGTTGCACACCAGGATTCAGCTTTAAGGCCTCAGGACTTGGTGATTGGTGATTGTCAGACATGGTGTATTCAGGTTTTCAGGCTTCAGGTTTTGGTGGTCAATGGTAGGTATATGCACTCATAGTGGGTATGTACTGCATGTGTTCGATTTTCTGGTGCCTACATCAGCACACTGATTCATTTGTTATCCAACTATCTAAGCCCAGTTATGTTTATTGCACTCATTTACCTGGGCCCACCTGTGTATATGATAACAACTACCTTGGCCCACCTGTCGATATAATATATATCACCACCTCAGCCTATGTGTCCATATAGTATACCAATACCTTGGCACATATGTCTATATGATATGTATCTGGGCCCACCCATGTACACAATATCTCACTACCTTGGCCCACCTGTCTATATAACATCCCCCTACATTGGCCCACCCATCTATGTAATATACCCCTATGTCAGCCCACCTGTCTATGTAATATACTACCATGTCAGCCCACCCATCTATATAATAAATATCTCACCACACTCTCAGCCCACCTGTCTGTACAATATACTACCATGTCAACCCACCCATCTATATAATATATGACTACCTCAGCCCACCTGTTGACACACATGAAACTTGTTTCATACATGGTCATGATTATGCCACTTATCTTTCTTGCATATGAAATAAACATGTGTCAACATTTTATGCCACTTTATTTGTATCTATGCATCCAAAGCTGTGGAACCTGACAAATTGATACTATGATTAGAAAGATGATGATTGGTAAAGCACAGCAACAAGGCAGTGCTAACACAGCTCTTACCAAACATTATTACAAAACATGGCAGTGTTATGGTCTTAACACAGCCTTTGCCAAGCATTCTATAGTCCTTTCTCATTGTCATATCCACATATCTGGATCTCAGATCCGATCCTTATTTCATCTCAGATCCTATCCACATCTTATCTCCCTCCAACATCTCGTCATCCAATCTGTCCACTCATCTGGTCCAGTCCACAATTCATCCAAATCCACAACCAGCGCTCATCTCTTTTCAGTAATCCCCTAACTCTGGTATTTTGGTTATCTGTATATCTGTCCTGCCCCCTGATCCATTACCTATGTTTCATTTCCATTTCATTAGTTGTGATCTGTTTCTACTTACCAATAGACCATCCATACAGTGGCTCAAAAAACTGTCCACATGTTTTTGCATTTTTTACTATTTACAATATTGTGTGAGAATACATAAAGACCTCAGTGACATGCTAATACCATATTGTAGTGCTGCTTCAGGGCTTTGGATTGAGCACCACATTGTGAGAATCAGAGGAGATATGGTGGAGATACAAGGCTTACAAAATCATGACTCATACAGGCAGTTTTTTGAGCACATATTAAAACTATATAAATCATCATTTATGACACCACAAAAATCATACCACTATGATATAAATTATGAAGTGGTGTCATTATGTTATTTTAAAACCATATCTAACTATACAAACCAAAAATTTCCATATGTCATGGTTATATTCACCATGAAAGCCACCCCCCTGCTCAAAGGGATAATATCCTCTCTCTTTCCTATTCTGGCCTCTCTGCTTGTCAAATTTCCTCTAGAACTGGAGTATGCAAGTCCACTGTGGCCAAGTTCATCAAAGAAAGTCACACAGACAAGGAAAACTTCTGTGAAGGGTGTCCATCCAAGCTCACCTCTACTGATAGGAGGGCTATTATTCAACATATCACTACAGGAAAGGCTGATAATGCTGTCCAGGTCACCTATTACATCAATTCCACCATCACATTCCCTGTCTCTTCACACACTGTGAGAAATATTCTCAAGACAGCTCATCTCAGGTCAGTAACAAGGAAGAAAAGGCTCTCCTCTCTATCACACAGAATTCCAGCCTAGGGAATCCATCCCTAGGCCTTACGGAAAAGGACAAGACTCAGATGGACTGAAGTCCAGAAGATAATTGGGCAGATCTAAGGTGATGAACAGGATCTAAGATGATATTCAGACTGAGGACTCTACAGGAATTGTACAGGGGTTATATACTAGAGGATATCTGAGAGGATCAGTAAGCAACAGAGTAAGGCTATGTATGAGCATGTGGAAACACATTGGTAAGTAAGACGGAACATAAGTAATGAACTCAGAGATGAAACTAGTACAAGGATCAATCAGCAAGACAGAAACAGAGATAACCAAGAACTGGAAAGGCAGAGATGCCTAAATGGGGATAGGTGCAGGATCTCGGATGGAGGGTGGGAATGGTCCAGAGATAGTACAGTCAATATCCAGAGGTCTGGAGATCTGGGGATCCAGAAGGCAGGATGGAAACAGGACTGAGATATGTGAGGTGGTGGATGTAGTCTGGAATCTGAGAGGAGGTAAAGTCTGGATGTCTTGCTGGATGGAATGTGTGTAGGGTGAACAGGATAGGGGATCCAGGAATGAGTTGGATATGGGGTCCGGAAATAGGTCTGGAAAGCGTGGGAATATGATGGGATCTATGTCTGGCATACGGGATATGACAGTCAGCTGTTTGATTCAATGACCCTCCAGTGACCGACTACAATTCAATGGATGTGGATGAGTCCACTGTGTCCTGGGCATCACTAGGTGTGTTGTATTTTTATCATGCCTTATCTATTTACCAGGTATCCCTTAGATGATCTATACCTAGGGCTGGATGATGACATAGAATATGATTCTCCTTCATCCGGATCACCAGATGTCTTGGCTGCAATACCTGGTGAGTTTATCCATTCATTAGGATTGAGGATCACCATGCATGCTCACTAAACCCTTGCAGATCAATCACCTCTGGCTCAAGCTGATCATCCAGGTTTTCCCATTGATCCAGATTTGTACCTTGGGCCTGAGGATATATATTGATGTGGATGAGTTGGCTGTATCCTGCTGATCCTAAGATTGATGTTCTGGCTGCATCAGAAGTGTCTATGTCATGTGAGTCCATTCATTCCAGAGGATTATAGATACTTACAGTGGCTCAAAAAACTGTCCACATGTTTTGACATTTTTCACTATCTATGATATTGTGTGAGAAGGAACAAATGCCTCAAGGACATGCTTATACCACATTGTAGTATGGCTTCAGGGCTTTCATTTGAGCCCACACCGTGGGAATCGGTGGA